CAGACCACCTAGACTGGCCGTATCTAATTCCAATGCACGGGTACCAGTGAATGCAAAATCCGGGGAAGTGGAGTGTGGAAGGCAATCTGATCGCGCGCATCTTTAAGCAGATCCGGATTAAGTAATATTTTTATTACATATTAAACATTATATTGCATCTTATGACAAATATTCAATTTTAAGTTTGTAATTCAGAAAATAGTATATTTTAGTGTCATATTAAATAAAACTACAAAATAATTTAAATATATTTATTGTCCTCTAAATAATATTAATTTATTTAATATTTGCCTTTTCGTAGATTTTACCGAATTAAATAATTTGACTTCATGATTTATTCGTACATCGATATACTTTTCACATTCAGCCCTTACAAGTTCTATTAAATGATTACAATTGTTAGGCAAATTATCAAATTGATGTTCATGCAAATTTTCAAATATGTTCACATTCAGAAAGTTTTTTAATACATGATAAACAATTTTATTTTTCTGTAGCCTAGGTGTTCTGCTTTCATCATTATTTAAAAATGTTATTAATTTTTCTGTTTCTTAGCATATTATGTTGAGTTATGGGAAAGAAAATAATAAAATGTAAACTGAGTAAATAATATTTAACTAGATTTTTATATAGCTTTTATAGCGTCACATTTAAGTAGATTGCATACAGACTAATACTGATAGGACAAAGATACTTTGGTTTTTATATAAGCATTTCTTCTAATCAGCGTATTTAGCCACAGCGTCGGCTTCGCTGGAGCAAGGTTTAACTTAGGACTATAAACACCATTAACACGAGCTTAGTATACAGTGTTCGACTTATTTTATTTTGCGTTTATCCAATATATTACTACGACATATCGAGATGGATACGGATACGTCAAACAACCACGATCTTTAATAAAAATTAATTGACTGTACGAATACTGAATCTGAAATTAGATTTGTTTGCGATTTTTTTTAATTGAAAAAAATATTTCATTAATTTTCAGCTATCTCGAAATGACGGGAATTGGTAAAATTTCATAAAAATTTAAGACTCGCATAAAGTAAATAATTACTAAAAATATTTTACAGTAATTCATTCATTATTTTATAATAACAATATCACGTTAATCACTACACTATGTGGGCGAACAAAATTATAAAGCTAACCCTGGAAACTTGTGACGTTAACCGAAAAATGGCGTACATATTTACCTTTTATATATTCCTTTTTTTTACTTACCTAAAGAAGGAAACTTTTCGCCTCTCTTCACCAACTCGATCACTTCTATTTATACAATGTTTTACAATACACTTGCCCATGATAAAACGTCTAATTATCGAAATCACAGCGATGGGTACACGTCAAATGCTAGGACACGACTGAGCCCTGGGCTCCAAATCAGGCTCCAAAGTGTTTTCACCAAAGTCGCTCTATAAGCCAGTCTAAGTGGTCTGTGGTTACGACTATCGACTGGTATCTATGACTGTACAGTCAACGTAGACAGTCACGTGGCACTAACTAACAAAAATCTATTGGCGTACATCAGTACCCTCACAGCTGCAACCGCTTTAAAATCTAAATTAGTACAACCAAGGCTTGCCGCCTAACTCAGCAGGGAACCAGTCCACGTACATACCAACTAATGTAAGTGTATACTCATTTACAGCACTGCGTTCCAAACTTGGCTGAACCTACCAGGCTGCATCAGCCTGGCTAGACCAGACTTAGCGAAATACGGCCTTATTAAAGGCCGCATTTCACCTACCTACAATCGCGCTTGAAAATAACAGCCCAGTATGAATGTATACTGATTTGTTGCAATACGTTTTGGACTCGCCAGGCTGCACCAGCCTGGCTGGAGCAGCCTCAGTGAAATTCGGCCATAAAAGTCTGTTAATTCAATTAACATACATTTATCAATTTACTTAATTGGTATGTAAGAAACTGTTGATTGTTTTTACCAATAAAAAATATTTCCGTACCGATTTAAATAATTGAGAATTTTCAAAAAGTTTCAAATTAACTGATGCGTTAACTAGAAACGTTTTACCACAACTTTCGCTCATTAAAACAGTTATTTTTCAAAAATATAAAATTACAGACGGTGCTGTATAGAAAAATATACCTACATGTATTCAGGGTGTCCAGAAACTCAACTGATATATTCGGGGTAAAAATAAACTGATTTAAATAAGCTATCTATCTTAGTATAATTCTGTTTAGTTAAAAAGGTACAGGTAATTATTAAATACTTTTTTATTGAATTTTTTACGATAACTGAAAAAGTAAAGTGGTTTTTGAAACGATACGTTAACAAAATTACAAATACTTGTTGCTTGTCATTAACATCCATAGTTCTTGAGATTAATGGGTTTTCATTTTCTACAGTTATGGACAGTGGAATATCTAAACACAAAACGAGAGAATCTTTCTGTTATTAATTTTATAGGTTATAAACAGAAACATTAATGTAAAAGCAGTATAAAAATAAATAAATTCATATAAAGTCATGTTAATTTACTGCAATTTAGTTGTATTGAACATTTTCACTATGTTATATTTTTGAATATGAGTTTTTAGTATTGTTTTCAAATAATTATTCAGTTTGTAATAATACATATACCTTATTGTGTGTGGTTAAAAAAACATTCACTCAATCGTCCATAACACGTTGTTATGTTAGGATCAAGTGCACTTTGATTTTGAAATCTACCTTACGACAACTGGGAAATCAGCTGTTTCGCTTCAACGTTCAAATGTTCTGTGGTGCGCCGGCGCGTTCCCAGTCAACAAATAGGATGCAAACTAGGGCGCCGAGTTAACGGAAGTTAAGGGGTAATTTGCTTAGTATTAAAAGATTGGCTAAATTTTTTTTTTTCGATTTTCTGTATTCGGCTTTCCGAATACGTAGTTAAAATTAATGGCATTATGACTGAATCAGCCGTATATACAGTTCCAATCTATAAATTTCATGTTTCAAATTTTCCAAACAGTCCGTGTTTGATAGCTACATAATTTTATTATTTTGAGAAATGGTAACGTTAATATTTTGTATTGTATAAATCTGTGTTTGCGATTCTCTAATTTTTTATTCAAACGTACAACGAATTGCTTTTTTCACTTCAAAAAATATACATTTTAGGGACATGTAACAGTGTAGCATTTTTGCTATAAATATTGTCGTGTTTTAAAAAACACACGTGTTTTCTCAAAATTTCTGCAACAACAAAATGATATTCAATTTATTCTCAGCGTATAAGCGCATATTCATATTCGGCCATCCTAAAAATTCTCCTATACCAAGTTACATTAAGATATCTCAAAAAGTAACAAAGTACAAAAAAATTGAATACAAATTTGATGATCCACATGCTTTTAAGGAAACAAAATTTTACTTTATCTAAATCGGTGTAAATCCAAGAAAACTGTGATTCTAGTATGTCAATTGAGTTTCTAGACACCCAGCTTGGTTGAATAGCTGATAGTAAGTAGTGCATTATATGATTTTATGTATATGACATCCAACGACGGCACATTCATAGGAGCCTCTCAAATATTTTTTTTATTTCTCCCTTTTTGGTTTTTGTTTTTAACATTTCATAGTGGTATAAACATGTTATTTTCATTACATTCAATGAAAACAAAACACCGGACTCCAGAGCTTTTTGGGGTCGCTAATTCCGATGCCGAGGTCGGTTAAGCTCTACCACGTCGGGTTCAAGGTCAATTGAAAGTCAAACTAAGAAAAGGTGGTTGAAAAAATCTGAAAAAATTCATACATAGGTTTTTTGGTTGAGTCTGCATCCAATATCGATTGACCTCTATCACCTCATATTCAAGGGCGTTTGAAGGTTAAAGTAAGAATAGAAGGTAAAAAAATTTTACTTTTGTCTGTTTATCTGTCTGCATTTTTACCTTCACAATTGTTTGTTTGCTTGTTAGTCTGTATTTATCGTCCGCCTGTATTTTTTCTCTGCCCATCTACCCCTTTCTGTCGGTAATTTTGTCTATCTTCCTGTCTGACTAAATCACTAAATGTTTCTATCTGTCTGTTTTTTTGTCACCCTCTGTCTAAATGTCCACTGACAGTTTGCCTACCTCCTTGACAGTTTGTCTTATTACCTTTCTGCCTACCATCCTCTCTCGGTTTTGCGTGATTGTACAACAACTAGATTTAAAAAAAAACTTTTGAAAGCCTTCAACAAATCTATTCGCTTCTCTCAACAAAAGTGTATTAGTCGAAATTCGGGCAAGAATGCTTACGTTGTTCCTGGAGTGATCTTCGAATCGCTTTTCTTTTATGTGCTTTATTTGTGTCTCTCTTTAGAATCCAGCAAACAATATGTCTGCAAACATATTCTTCCCCCCAAACACCTTGATATCTTTGTTCAACCTCATTCAGTTCCTGGTGCATTATTTCTCCTTGTCCTTCACTAAAAGCTCCCTGATTCTCTGGGAACCAATCATGATGAGAATGAAGAAAATTAAGATTCAGATTTATATGACATTTAGACAGGGGGTGGCAGAAAAGCAGACAGATAGAACCATTTAGTTATTTAGTCAGACAGGAAGATAGACAAAATTACAGACACAAAGGGAGGATGTCAGGACGATAAATACAGACTAACAAGCAAACAAACAAGTGTGCAGGTAAAGAGGTAGACAGATATACAAACAAAAGTAGCCAGGTAATTCGTAATTTTTTTTCCCAATTTTTTCAACCACCTTTACTTAGTTTAATCTTCATATGACTTTGAACTTGACGTGATAGAGCTTAACCTACTTCGCCATCGGAATCAGCGACCCCAAAATCCCCTGAGTACTTAGATGTAATCCAGTGTTTTTTTTTGTGTTATTTTACAACTAAGATGGTTATGGACACCTAACTGTAAATAGGAGCAAAAATGGTATATTTTTACTTATTTACTTATTTACTTTTTCTCTTTGTTACAGACGAATTAGCCTTAAATTTACTGGAAATGATCTGGTGGACTGGATAACTAACACCATGACTTCTGTGGTTTCACTTTTCCTACATCCAATTATTATTCGTATAGTGCAGTCGATTGTTAAAGGAGGATTAGAATCAACAGTTGATGAAATAAATGAACTTTTAAATAGCATATTACATTCCTCAACAGCAGTTGAGGTTTTACTGTAAAGAAAATTTGAATGAAATAAATAATTTGACTTTAATCCAGTAAACTGAATTATTTTGTCATCAATTCAATCCTTAGGTATATGCAATACTGAATAATTGGTAGGGAAAATACTTCGTTTATTTATAGATTTACTGGATTGAAATCATCACTGTCATTTAATACCGTGCTAACAGGACGATGTTCTCAAAATATTTTTGTAAATTCAAATATGAAGCCTACCTAAATAATTTATACACCTCTTACTCTACATATTGCAATGTTTAAGTCAAATTTGTAAAGAAATTGTAGTATGTACAGACCCACCCGTCATAAGTGATTTCAACCCACGTGTTTGGATCAATAATTTTATTTCTTTCATGTTACCAATTAAATTCCGGTAAAATTAAATCAATAAGATCAAGATTGCATTAAAACACAATATTCTGTTTCACCAGCTGTGATTGGTGTAATTTTTCACGAGATTCTATTCAACCAATCAGCGATCGCATTATCTCGAATCATTAATATTAGTGACGCTAAGATTTAAGAATTTTTCATTACCAGTACCAGCCCTGCAATGTTGGTGGATTAAACTCTGCAGTCACGTGGATTGTAATCATTTATGAAGGCTCTGTAATTTTTTCATGTAAACATTTACTGCATCCATGCAATTCGGCTTAAATAATTAAAAAATATTTCAAATTAATAAATGACAATAATAATAATCGTAGACAACAGACTGGGGAAAGAATTATTTTCTATATTTATATGTAGTTGACAATATAAAACTATAACAGCCAACAATTAAACATTTGTGTAAAAGCAGGTACATCGAAACTACAAAATATCGCACCTAAAAGAACATTAAAATGCACAAATATAAAAAGTGATAAGACAAGAATATTTCTGTTTCTTTTTCGTAACTTGATTTTTAATCATTGGCAGTAGATTTTACGAAAGGATAAGCATATTTGAAGAATATTTAGTACAATATTGTTTTCGTTATTTCCGGTTTTTGTAAAATCTATTCCCAGTTATAAAAATAAAAGTTACAAAAAAAATATATGAGAGTTTTATCAGTTATACCTGTTTTGTAGTAAATACCTAATCTAAATTTTATACTTACAATCCCTTCCGTCAATTGGCCTGTAAAACTTGAAATTTTCAATTACGAAAATTCCTACACATAAGGATAAAAAATCGCATAAATGTTTTAAAGATATAACAAAAAATAATCTTTTAAATTGACACTTCAAGTGCCCAAACTGCCCTTGTATTAAAGTCGTTTATTGAAATTATTATTTTGATCCTGATGACATGTGGTAGAATTTTGGAAACCATTACCTGTTCAATATGGAGTCCCATCTATTTTAAGCCCTTTGCTATTTTCTATATATTTTCTATATATTTCAGATTTTTATGAAGCTGTTTCTTTATGTAATATACAGTTATATTCTGGTTTTAGTTTGTACGATCGCAGAGATGCTAATACTAAAATCAATCGAGACTTAAACTCACTTTATAAGTTATCTCTTGAGAACAGATTAAAATTAAACCCAAATAAGTAATATGTTTTATTATTTGGCCCTAAACAAAGGAGATTAGCAGTGGAAATTCCTTAAAAATTATTTTAAACAATAATACATTGGATATAATTAGTGAATGCAAAAATTTAGGACTTTGGTTCGATTCAGATCTACGTTTCACTAAGCACATAAATCAGTTGTTAAAAACGTGTTATAAATACTTTTATTTCTGACCGGGATATTATAAGCTTATATCGTCATAGTTACGCTATCAATAAAGAGAGTCATAACTCCCTTGGGACATTATAGATTCTATAATTCCCTCTACCTTTCACAAGTAAAAATAAAATAAAAAATGCTAATATACATATATGTGTATATATTTATGAAATGAAAACTGAACCATATTTTATTTATTTGCGTCATTACAAATAATAAATGTACAATTTTGAAATGTTCCCTGAAAATTACTACCGCCACTGGAAACAATTTCTTCTTTTGTATGACTGGAGCTTCTGTTCACTACAGTCGAGGTACCTGCCTCTTCTAATGGCAAAGTAGACAACATACGCGCCGTTTTATTTCTCAATTCGATGCTATCCTCCAGATACCCCTCCGCCACCGTGGAACTTTTCCAACCTCCGTGTCTTTTTAAGTTAGTCATAGTTGCTCCTGCATTAGCTAGAGCAGTAGCAGAAGTGCGACGAAGGCAATGTCCCGTATAGGAAGATGGGTTTGGCAATCCTAAATACATTGCGATTTTGCTGGGAATTTTCCCAAACATGTTTTTTCCAATTGGCTGAGATGTACATTTATTTTGTCGGAAGCGCAAAAAAAATCGTTCAATACCTTTAGGACGCAAAGACATATAAAGTCTTAATAAAGGCAAAGCAGAGAACTCTTTTTCATCCACAATTGTAAATTTCTTCGATACACCAGTTTTACTTTCCGGTACGTTCACTACCATAACGGAATCCCGGTCCTCTATATCCGATATCTTCATATTCAAAAGTTCCTGACTTCTGCATCCTCCAAAATAACCCATAATCAAAACAACCTAAAACAAAAAAAGGAAATAAATACACACAAAAAGGAAAATAAGAAAAAAATTACCTTATGCAATAAATGAATTTCATTAGGAGCGTTCTTTAGAAATCTGATAACATCATTAGGAGATAAAACAGCAGACTTTTTCGGCTTATAACTCTTACTCTTCCGTTTCAAAAAAGCCTCTAGTTCATTGAACTTGGCGATATCTCGTTTCTCATGTATATTCACCTTCGATTTTAGCATTGACCATTTAGTCCATAAAGAATTCGGACTATACGTTTCTGACTGCAACGAATAAACAAAATTACTACCAAATCTACCGAAAAACATAGAATATTCCTTACCAATTCTTGAAAATATGCCAGTAATACAGTTTCAGTGGCATCTTTTGGCATAACATTATTCCGTGTCAGCCACTCCAGATATATCTTGTATTCTTTTTGATATACGGCTTCACTTTTCGATGGAATTAATGATTCTCTTGCTTTTTCAGCTTTTTTCAAAATCTGCTCCATTATATTTGGGGTAGAAAACACGTTTTTAACGCAAACACAGCTTGATAACAAAGTACTGTTTATAAGCAAGTAACAATTCTGTTTATAAACACGTAACATAGCAACAACCTAGCAACAACAAAACTCTTATAATCAATGGTACCTGATTCAAATATACTGGGAAGGTAATAAATTGGTACATTTTTTCCGTTTTAAAAATAAACAATATTTTATTGAAATCGGTCAGAAATAAAATTATCTATGTACCACGGGAATTAATGAGCCTTAATAACCTCAGGCAATTGCTGTCCCTCGGGCGGGACGCCCTCGGGACGCAAACTTTGCCATCGGTAATTAAGGCCCTTATAATTCCCTAGATACATAAATAACTATAAAACAACTATACCCACAAAGACAAGTGATGAATCAAAATTTAAAACTACAATTATGTGAATCATTAACTATTTCTAAATTATCTTATTGTGATGTTGTGTATGGTCCAAATCTGTTACAGATTGATAGATCCAGACTCCAGATGTTGCAAAATTCATGTTTACCTACGACCACTACTGTAAATACTTAAAAACACATCGCCTGTGATCAATGTAAGATTCCTATTACGTACGGTAAAAAAATCGCACAGCTTGGTAAAAAAATCGTACAGTTTTCCTAGCAACCGCCTAGCAACGGTCAATACAATACTGTTTGTATTGACTAGGTAAAGTATAGTACGTAATACGTGATGTAATGCAATTACGCACTCATAGAATTACGCACTCGCCGCTACGCGGCGTCGTGCGTAACTTTTCCATTCGTGCGTAAAATGCTTTTTACAACACTTATTACGTAATATACTATTATGCTTTTCTTATGCTATCAGGAAATTCGATCACATAAGTCACAAGTATAAAGATACTGGGTGGTTAAAAATTGTTGATATGTTCAAATATCATTTTAAGTACTCGTATATGCTTTACACATAAAATACTCACCACTAGTACACCTACTTACTTATATAATAAATTAATTAAATTTGGTAATGTAAACAATAAGAGATCTTCACGTAATAGAAATACCCTGTTAACCCCCCAAACATAAAACTGCCACCTTTACTCGTAGTTTTTCATATTTAGCCCCAAAATTGTATAATCAGTTACCAAATGAGATTAAAAATATTGCTCTAATTAATTTCAAAAAAAGATTAAAGTCACTTGTTGGAGACATATACCTTTAATTTATTGTTATGTAATGTTCTTAAGGTTAAGTTGAAAAGCAGCTGTAGCTGAACTTCACCTGTCATTCCACTTGTTGTTTTATTTTTGTATGTTTGTATGTAATGTTTGTTATCAACGAATGAATCAATGAATAAAGACGATTATTATTATTATTATCCAGTGATTTCTCGTACATTGCCGACCTTAGTGGGACACCCTGTATATAATATATGTATAGTGTCTAAAAATCCGATTTGGTAACCTTTGAGTGGTGATAATTGGTCTGGCAGACGCTTAAAAAAGTAAACACTGTATATTATATATTGTTTATAAGAAAAGTTTCACAAATAATGATTTCAGTCAAACTATTTCACTTTTCCGACAACGTTTCCCGACTGTCAGACATATTTAAAACCGCCAAAAATTAACCAGACCATCTTCTTTATGCAATTTAAAATGTCAAAAATACATTCAAAATATTTCAGTAATAATGATTTCAGTCAAAGACTGTTATTTCTTACATGTTTTCCACGTTCTATTCAATTCAAAGTAGTCGAATAACGAACAGATATTGATAATGAAATTTTATGTTGTGGGCTCCCAGACTGATAATACATTACTTGTGCAAAAAAATCTCACAGGTAAATCGGAGCGTGTATAACTGGCATTAATAATAATATCTGTATTTCGTTAATGTGGCTATAATATTGTTTATCGTTCACTTATGTATTATCTCATCTTATAATATTTTATCATCTAATGATAACACTAGCTAAGTATAAATT